TATATATATATATATATATATAATATCCATATATATATACACGAGGCACTGTGCAACTTCTTTTTCTAGTACATTTTAAACTACCATTTTTATTCTTACGAGACGCTACCTTTTTTATATTTTTACTAAAGTACGAAGCGATGCGTAATGTGTACGCGGTATAAACGCATCGTGTAGACATTTCGACTAGAAAAAAAGTTATATTCAGATCACTAGACTGAACGCATTATGATAAAAGATCTAGTCTATCCAAATTTCGTTTTTAAATTCTTTCTGTAATGCTGATATGTAAGATGTGCATCGTGCGGTCTGTATATGCTCGCTTGCCCTTCGTATGAAATAGTATTACCTGTTGGTTAAGCCACTCGCTGTCATTCTTTTTTTTTTCAAGACACTCAATTGTACAATTAAATATTCTTATTGACAGTATTATCAGCGATCTGTAAATTCTAAGCGATTTAATTTAAAAACCGATAATACAAAAACCATTCTGGAGTCATACATAAGTAAAAACATAATAATGGATACGCCGAATTGTATATAATTCGGACAACGATATTCCGCGGCAATTGTGTACAGAATACTGCAGCGAGTTTTATTGAAATGAAATGTTGAACGAAAATAAAATTTACATTCTCCAATCACGAAATTCAATTCATTTCATTTCATTTTATTTTTCTATATTTCGGGGAAACAAAATGAGATATTAAAATTTCACGTGAAGGTAATATATCACAAAAGCTTGATATATAAATGGTCCTCTGATAAAAAGATAATTAACAGTAAGTAAGAACTGCATTTGTCCTTTCGAAAAAAAAAAAAAAAATACATATATATAATTATCCTACAGCTGCATCTCCCATATAAAAGTCCCATTATCCTGGTCGTAATAATTAATCTTTCGAGCACACGTAAAGGTGCCTTTAAGTTCCGCGTTTCACACGTTGGCTTGGTTCACTTTTGTCTCCGCTTCTTAGAGTATTAATGGCTCTGCCCAGAGACAAAGACACAGAGACGATACGACGGACTTCTAAAGCGATTAATATCCTAACTTTCCTCAAACGATATGTTTTTGCATCCGTTTTTTTCTTTTTGCTTACAATTAAATGAACTTATTTGTGTTAAAGTAATCACTGAGTATGTATTGTATAACGTGGTAATTCACGTCGTGCATTCGAAAGCCAGTCATCGTATATAAAGCATGTAAATCATGACGAATGATTTTCTATTAACGTTATAGCGGGTAACGATAATATTGTTCCAAATAGCATTAATCTTGCTATTGATTCATTTTACCATTGTCGTTTGAAAATAATAGTCGTTCCATTTCCATTGATATATTTCCATACTAACTTTAAGTCGAGATGTTTTGTCGTATTTACATATATTTGCATTGCACTTCAGATTGCTATGTTGGAATGTGAATAAATTATTTAACAATCGATCTCTATCAATATATTAAATTTTTGCCATTCTATCTATGCTGATATTGTCTTCTTTTGTATCGTCGAGTGTGTGAAGTTTTCAAGCTTCGGTATGCGATTGCCGATGTGCGTGCGATAATTAGCCGCGACGTCCACGTATTTTGCTCACTCGGCGCAATTGCAGAAGATAGTGTAAATATATTATATAAATATATTATACATATATATTTTAGTGTGCGTGTGCCTACTTCGTCTTATAGTTTGATACTGTTGTATATACGCGAACTGTATGTACCTCGAGTTACTGTAAAACACTTTAACTGTCAATTATATGGAGTTTTACGATATACACAAAACTTCAGCCAGCGTAAATTACATACGTAGGCATATACATACATATATACATGTATGTGTGAGTATGTAAGTACGCGCATAGTTGGTACACATATATATATATATATATATATATATATATATATATGTATATATATAAATGTGAGATGATGGCCTGTGCATAATTCTAAATTAGATACGTTTGAAGTAATACCCGTAGGCCCGAATTTGGCGATGGGAGAGATGTAATTCGATTCTAGGAAAAGAGCATCGAGAAAGTAATTTCTAAGTGTATTCGAGACGGGTAAAATACTGTCTCGTCCGTTAACTAATCTTAAAACATACTCGGCAAGATCGTACTTAGAACGCTAGTTTCAAAGGGCCTGTACTTTGAATTCTTTCTGCGCCTTGAAACGCGTGTATATCACGAGGTATCGTAAGTACAAATTGTACTGTACGTTAATATTTCTTGTCTAATTACTTTTTGTAGAGTGCAATTTTGTTTTTTTTTTGGAAAGATTGGATAAAGTCGCTAGACTTTGTTTCTGATACGAAACGAAAATCTATACAATACGAAATCCATTACAGCCGGGTACTTACAGTCGCTCAAGAAAGTATTGGTATCTTTGCAAATCCATCTCAGCTTGTCTCTTTAAAACTTTCATGGAACGATCGTTATTCTTTAGAGGACTTTGCTCTTACGTTGTAAAAGAGATATTCCGAAATAGTATTTTACTTGTTGACGATTACCTATACGTATGTAACTATTCGCCGTAATTTAAATATAGAGTTGAATGATATTAAACGAATTATTACATCAAATGGTGGTGTTACGATGTTTCAAACGACGTTGTCTTATTAATGCATTTGGCCCTTTTATAGCTTCGAGTGTTCCTTAATTTCCACTCGTCGGTTGAGGTAAGTTCTAGGGTGGTTTAATCCAGCTGCGTTTTATCTGATCCGATGTATTTATTTACAATATAAAACGATTATATATGAATACATATAAATAACGTAAGAACAATGAACATATCGATCGTATTGTTAAATGCGCGCGCGTTACGTTATGTTATATACCTATGCTTTTGAGATATATATTTTTGTTTAGAGTTCGATCTCTGCATATGAATTATATTCTTATTAACGGATTTTTATTAATTGACCAACAAAGTTATATTATTTAGGAAAATATGATAGTAGTGTAAGTGCATATTTCTTAAATTTTAATTAAATATAAAAATATTAAATTAATATATGTACGGCATACAAAAATATCTTATAAATACAGGAATAGGTAGTATGAATCTTGATAAAAAAATTTCTATTTTTACTTGTAATAATTCAAAATGTGAATTTTTTTTTAAATGGTCATTTGTAATTCCTAAAAAATGTGAGACTTTTACAAAATTTGAAGAACCATGTTATACTCATAACTTATACTCATAATTTACTAAAGCTTCTAATGACTTTAAAAATATCTTTTTTTTTTTGTAAAAAATTCGAAATTGATTTTTTGCCCAGAAGTTAGATTCTGCAACTATTAAAGATAGTGTCGTTATACGCAAAGTAGAATATATAGTAAAAAAGTTGTGCAACGACATCGTCGTTAAAAGTTACAAAATCTAGGTGCTGAGAATAGAGTATTGAAAGTTCTACATATACTACGCACTTATATTTACAATATCTCGTAGCATTCGATAGTTTCTTTATTTCGATGTCATGACGAGAAATGATTTAGGGAATGATCTCTTAAATAAATACATAGTAGGATGATTCGCATGCTTACACTAATAAAGCGTCCCCAATGATTATATCGTGCTTGATTCACGAAATTTGCTTTTGTATTTCTTTTCGCGAGTAATCTAATGTAAAGATATAAAAAGAACGTATACGAAGGATTTTATAGGACACGAGTGGATCGAGTAATTTGCTTTTTTACAATTACACACGCTATATTCTGTCGAGCTTTTTTCCCAGCACAAGAAAAAGCGTGGCTGTTCCACTGTGAGCTTTATCGAACAGCAGTGCTTCTTCTCAGATCCTTTTCGCTATGACGCTTAATTAATATCTCTTTGTTGTTCTAACATATGTAGGAAAGTATATTCGAAATGATGATAATGTGTTAGAAACGCTCGATGCGTTCCAAGCGTTTTAATTTTCTACAACGGAAATGACGACGCGATGACAATAATTTAGAAGGAATTAAGTACGTAAAACTACGATGCATATAAAGTATAAATTTCTGCAGTCTCTCGAAACTTTCTACGTTTAACGTAAAGGCCAGTAATAGAATATCTCGAGAAATCTGTAGACTTTTTTCCCGACGTAATATTTTTAGATTCTCTTTTAACCCTAATCGGTTTGTTCGGAAATTTCCTTAATTGAGTACAGTGTACATTAAATTAAATTAAGTTTCTTTAATTTATATTTACGTTGTCAGAAACGTTTTTCACAACTTTACATAGTTTTAAGTTACATAATCATATTTCTCGGACATTGGCCTCCAAAATGAAAAAAAGTATTCTTTAATTGCTAACTTTAATTACTAACATTGAATAAAAATACATTGGTTTAAGGCACACTGAATCCGCGAATACCGATTACAGGGTTAAAGAAAATCCTTCTACGAAATCAGGTATTATCGAAAATAAATCCTGGACGTTTCTCGAAGGAAGCTCACAAATCCCCCTACGGTTTTCCATTGCTTCTCAAAGCACGGAATTGTCGATCGCGTGTGCTACGACGTGGATTCGACGACAGTTTGCTCGCGGCAGAGAGATTTTTTTATCGCGAGTCATCAGTTCTTCTTCGAGAGCTCCTGGAAAAAAGCCTCGATAGGTAACGTCGGTTCGTCCGTGTTGATCTTGAACTGCGACGAAACGAGTCTGCTTTCCGGCGAGACTGCTTTGAACATGCCCGGCTTGTCGTACAGAGCGGAGGCGGAGCTCGTCAGGTCCGCCACGCTCTGCGACGCCTTGGCGAATAGTTCCTCCTCGGATTGTACATCGAACTTCGTCGTAGCTTCCTCCTTAGCTTCCGGCTGTCCCTCTTGCGCCGCGTCGCTCTCGCTTCCGGCCGTCGTGGAGATTTCCGGCTCCTCGACCCGACTCGTCTGCTCGGTCGCATCACTCGAAATCCGTCCGTGATCGTTTTCGATCAATGCCGCGTCGGTTGGCGCCGCTTTTGTCTCCTCATTCTGCGAAACAGCTTCTCCTTGGTTTTTGTCCTCCTGCACACCGAATTTCGCCGAATGGTCGTCAAGCGACGCCGCCTCTACCTTCTCGCTGACGATCTCGTTGCCCACAAAACGATTAGTCGACGAAGCAGTCGAGTAGAAATTGGTTTCCTCAGCAGCCATCTCCGTAGATTCTTCCTGCCGTTTGCTATTCGCGACCGCGCTGTTCTCCTTCTGCAGCCTGTTCTTCACGATCGGCCGCCTGCGTATCGACGACGAATACACGTTTTCGGGTCGCGTCGAGCTCTGCCTGATATTCGCCTCGTTGCTGATCTGAGATCGCGTAGGACTGGTCGTCGTAGAGGCAATTCTACTTCGGTAGACATTGCCACTGATCGGCCGCCTCTTCGGTATAAACCTGTTGTTCTTTTCAGTCGAAGACGCGCTCTCTTCCGAGTATCGTTCGTGATCCCTTGCAGCTGCGGGGGATGACGTAGTGGTTCGATAGTTTATCCTGGAAACATATTTGTACCTGCCGGTGGTCTCCCGCACAGCGTCGCCCGTCAGCTGTGTTTGTTGGTTCTTCGCGTTCGACGTTCTCTGTCTGTTGTGAGGACCGCGCGTTAAAGCTTCGCTGGATGGTGTCGGCACCACCTCCGTCGTAGAGCTTTGCGATAGTCTGTTCTTGTAATCCATGCGGCTCTTGTAATCCTTGATGCTGAAACGTGGTCTAGTGGCATTGCCGTATCTCAACGGGCGACCAATCTTGTGAGACCTCGATGTAGAGGTGGCGATTTGAGGAGTTTGCGTTGCCGGTTGCGGGGTGGTCGTTGTCGTTGACGTCGTTGTCGTCGACGCGGTTGTCACGTCTGTGGTCGCGCGATCGAAATAATTACCGTCGGTCTTCACGTAGAGCTCCTCCAGCGGTATAGCGGTGACGATGTTAACGTTCTGCTGGCGAGTATCGGCGTTGTAATCTTCGACCTTGCCACGGCTGATTTCCGTCAAGTACTCCGGCACTTGTTCCGGCACAATGCTCTCTTCACGATGTTCCTCACGTTGGTTCTCGCGATATCCCTCATTTTGCCGTGAGGAGTAGTCGTAATACTGATTAATCGGCTGGCTCGTTTCGTACGAAACGCTTGGCTGATTCGTCGCGAACTGATTGTTCTCATCGTAGCTCGGCGCGGACTCCGTGGTTTGTCCGTAAGAATTTAGGGAGACGTGCGCGTTCTCCGTGACGATCTGCGTGTCGTACGACTCGTCGTGGCTCACTTTCGTACGATGACCAGGTCGTTTTCTGACATTACCTCTTTTCTCCACGTCCTCGTTGTAATTCGCCTGGCTGGGTTTTATTCGCCTTCTTCGCGCAGAGTCGTGCTGATTATGCTGCACGTCCTCGCTATTATACTTGAGGAAGTCTTCCTCCTGGTAAGATGTCGTGAGAGGCTCCTGCGTGGTCGTCGTCGGCTTCCTTCGGCGACCTGGCGCAACCGGACGACGAGTTCTGGATCTCTGCGTCGTCACCACCGGCACCGTTTGCACTTCCGGTGCCACCGTCGTCTGAATCGGCACATCTTCCGCGTATATAGTCAAGGGAGTGGCGGTTTCCGGCGGTTGACTCGGCGGCTCCGTCGGTGAGAGCTCGTGCGTGATACTCGTTGGCTTTTTGCGGCGTTGCGGAGCACGTGACGGTTTCTGCGGACGGTACGGTCGCGTCCCAGTTTGGGGCTCACGATAATTGACCTGTTGCTCCTGATACCCATTCTGATAATGCTGCTGATATGGATAATTCTGATTCACCTGGTTCTCCGGGATCTGGGATATCTACGACAGACAATTTGGAATCTCATTTTTTATATCCGATAGGAAAGTAAAACGAGTAGCCGAATAAATAACGATTTATTGATCCTATTTGATTGGATTGTATTAATTTTAGATAAAATTTTGTTAAAAATCCCACACTAATTATATGGGCGAAATGAGTTAGTTTTTCACATATAATATAGCCTATAATGTGTGATAAACAAAAGATGTCACAAGGTTTAATGGATAGTTTTTTTTTTTAGCTATAATGTATAAAAAAAAACGCTTTGTGAGTGTGCCTTTAATATACTATTATTTAGCCTTGCCTGCGACATCTCTTATTCGCCACATTATAAATTACTTTCTAAAACTTTTAGAGTGAATCAGTCACTCTGAAAAGTGAGATCTCTCTTTTAAAGACTGAAAGTTGAGTCACGTGAAAAAGCTAATTTATTCCGGCATTCAATTTTCCATATAATTAATGCCAAATCCTTTTTTGTTAAAAAAATTTTATCATTTAATATTTCGTTTACTCTGTATTTTTTAAATTTCTGTTATATTTATTCACTTATTTAAACTGGCAGAACGAAATTATAAAACTAGATATTACCTGAGGTTGAAGTCCCAACTGATCGATGTTATAAATATCAGGCTGCGATACTAGAATATTTCCAACTGTAGTGACCTGCGGTTCGAATTGCTCCAATTGAATCGTGTATGGCATGTCACTTGAGATCTTTACAATCTCCTGCGACTGATTTTTCGCGGACTCCGCTGCAAGTCTAGCCGCCTCTTCTTCCTCCTTCTCCCGTTGCGAGAGCTGATTAAGCTCTTCCTGCTGTTTCTTCAGCTCCGCCTGCTGCTGCCGTTCAATCTCCAGTTTCTGTTGCCGATCCTGTTCCGCCAGTCTCTGTCGATCGCGCAGCAGCAACTGTTGCTGCAGCAGATACTGTTGCTCATTGAAATGCTTCAGAGAGATGCTCTCTGGTGTCTCGTAATCCGGTATCGGAGTTGGTGGGTAAACCTCAACTGGATCGAAGGAGCTTTGCGGTCTATGGTACACGATCTTCGAGCCTTGAGTAATCTGATTCTGGTTCACGACTTCTTGACTGAACTTGCTCGGTGGATTCTCTTTCGGCAGAACTTCGTTGATGTCAGACTCGTATTTGCTCTTCGGCCACGTGGGCGGTGTAAGTCCCTGATGCTCCGGCACATAATAAGCGCTTGTAGTTCTGGGATTAGGTAATTCGGTTCGTCCTTTCTCTTGCTTGTTACGCGTGCTCTGATTCGGACGCTTATTATTATAATTGTTCTCCCGAGCCGCGTCGTTAGTTTGGTCGAATTTGCTGGGATTCCGCGTAACAGCGGTAGTGGTCGGTGGCGTTGACGAGGGTGAATAGATTGAAGGCGGCAGCAGAGTTTCGTATGGTAACGAGGGTCGGAAGCTGTACATACTGTATGTGCCGGGAGGAGTTACGTAACTAACCTCGTGACTCTCGTGCACCAAGAAGGCAGGATCTCGCTCGTAAGAGGGCTTATAATGATTCGAGGGGTGATTCACTTGGCTGTAGAAGTTGCCGGTGTTCGCCGAGTTTAATATCTGCGTGTGAGACTGCGCTTGATATCTGTTATAAATATCGCCATCGTTGCCGGCGATCTTTTGCTTGCCAAAGTCCCCCGGGGCCTCTGCGCCAGGCGGTTGGAAGTATGGTTTCGCGCTGTTAGCGACCTTCAACGATTCAAACTGTTTCTCAGGTTGGCGAGGCGGCTGCAACGCCTGCGGCATGGCGAATGGCGGAACGTAAGGGCGGTTATTCGGGAAACCTTTAATAAAATAGGTCGCCGCGCGTACGCTATCCAGCGGTTGCTGATGGACATTCTGCTGCGTGAGGTAGGCTGCCTGCGGCGGCTGCCTTGGTAAGTAGCTGCCATTCTCGCGCACGATCGGCTTGCGGTGTTGGTTGACCTCGAACCGGTACGCGTCCTTGGGCGGTGGTATCAGGAACGTGTACTCCCGGGTTTCCGTGGCCACGTGCTTGCTCGGCGTCTTGGTTTCGCCACGCGCCTTCGTTGCCGCGTGTCCGAACACCGTGAAACTACCGAGTATACTCGGAGGACTGTATTCCTGAATCGGCGGCTTGCCCTTGCGTAACGGCTTCAGTTTTTCCGAAGTCGCCATATGTTCTTGAAACTTGCTCAGAACGGGATGCACCTGGACATTTTTCTCTAGCTGACTCGACGGCGACACGTTGGTGCCGATCGTTTCCTCGTAGGAATTGGTCAGAGGTCGCCATCCATTCGCGATCATGGACGATCGTGTTGGTGGCTGCGGATCAAAGCTTGAGCTTTAGTTCTTGAAATAGAGGTTTAGGGATATATATATATATATATATATATATATTACATCTGTCAAGTGTCATCTATTATCGTAAAAAGGACTTTTATCGAGGACAATTAAATTAGTAAAATTTGTATATGTTGACCTTCTTATTTCTTTGACTTATTTCTTTATTTCTTTGGCATAATGTTGTACAGAAAGAACGATTTTGCTATCTAAAAATTTAGGTAAATACAAATCTGAAAATAATTTTGTTGGACGAAAATAATTATGTAGAACGTTCAAGTGTAATAAACAATATTACAAAGAATTTTGACATCCTATTTTGATGATCAAATAAAATTATTATTAGATGCTAGCAAAATTGTGTGTGTGTGTGTGTGTGTGTGTGTGTGTATTTACGGTAACGTCTTATTCAAAAAAATTTTTTATATAAATAATTTTTCTTTACTTTTTAAAATTTTATTTATTATATGACAAAATTTTTACGATCGTTAGACTGGTATACCGCGATGGTGGAACTTGTTATAGAGCCTTGTCATAGAGCTTTTCATGTACATTCCCTATACGGAGCATCAAGCACAACTTTCGTTCACGCCATAGCGACGATAACAATAGTAATGCGATACTCGAACTTCCTGGAGAGGTTAATGGAATGGTTCCTGTTCCAGTTTCAACGGAGGTCCGAGAAAATTGTAAGTGAGACTTTTATTCCCCGCCATCGTGTTGGCGGCAAATGGCGGTCTGTGTAATCAGAAAATAAGTGCATGAGGACCTTAGGAGCACACCATTTCCAAATTACTTGTTATAAGTCCGTTCGTTCAGAAACGATATACTACAAATTTTACTCGCACGCCGCTGACATTTCTAATAATCATACAAAATTAAATCGAAAATTTCGAAATATACTACTGATAAATGTGATGAACGTTGCTCGTAAAGTCAATCATCCCTGATAGAACGAACTGTCTTTCAGTTTCTGAATTTATTCCGCTTTCAAAGCGTAAATCAGAATTCTCACTTCCGAGATTGTCAAATCGCATAAAACTTCAATGAAACGAATAGAGAGATTTCGTGATTCGACTATGTGACTGGTTACGCAATAAAATTGCCAATAAGATGTTAACTTTAATAACCTTATTCCGTAGATACAAGGTTGATTTGGATAATTCGATTGTTCAGATAATTCGGAACATGAATATAAGAAAGATAAGGTACGCTAAGGTACTAACTATAACGCTTGCTTCGATGCCTAAAAACCGTGTTAAAAACAAGATGATTAGAGGAAGATGGATATTTAAACCGTAAAATAATAAAGTGGTAGAGAGAGAGAATAAAATACAGACAGAACGTGAACTAAATATAACGTGAAAAGAATAAGAGAAAACAATACTGGTTAAGTCTATAAAAGAATGAAATTTGACAGAACAATTGGCGGTGGAGCGGAAAGAAGAGAATGAGGAAGATCTGATGTTAGAATGAGTTAAATATTTCATATTAATTACGCGAGAAAAATATACCGTTTGTTTATTTCTCTCGCGCAATTATGAATTCAAAAGCAATTTTTCGTTACAAAGGATTTTAAAGAATGCTATTATCATAACTTTCTGATGCTCAGCATTAAATCTTGGCTATTAAATGTTAATGCAAAAGAAAGTATAAGGTATCTTATGCAATAAAGATAAAAATGCACTAATTTAATAATTAACGATAAATAATGATGTGTAATGAAAATTATAGGAAACTTTTGGTGTTACTTACGGTTTTATTAATGTCAGAGCGATCTATGGATACGGTAATCGCTCCTATCGTGACGAACAGCCATGTCGCTAGAACACCTATATAATTCAAATAATATAAATATAAAAAATCGTATACATGTTGAATAAAGAATTTGTTGATTTAGGTATAAAAATCATATACTTACAATTCAGTAGTAATATCGACGACATCGTGGCAGACCATGAGGTCATTTACAAGAATTCTGTAACGAAAAAATTTATTATGTCTAACACACAATCTTACTTAAAGTCTTATTTAAAATCTTAATAATAAATGAATTATTCATAAATACGAAATATAATGCATTACATTGGTGAAAGTAAAAAATTCTGCATTTAAAATGAAGAACTTGTACTCAAGATAAAGGTCTTTATTTACGACATTAAAATGCTACCTTCTGCGGAATGTAGAATTGACTTCACGAAAACTGACATTTATCAACATCTGAGATATAAGTAGGACGGCTCATACTTCATCTCGTATTAAGGCGAATTAACTATTAAAACATGAGCACGAGAAAAGTGTAACGTATCGCGCAGAGAAAGGAAGGATATAGAAAGCGTCGTGAATCTATCATAATCTCTCGGATCGTTTCCGTGCTGTTTTCTCATTTTTAAATCGCGATAATAGCGAAATCCATGAAGGAGGGAGAATTTCTCTTTTTATGAGCATTTGCCGTGATACGCAGGTACCTTTTGTGTAACGTTCATTTTTGTGTAAAATACGCGAAATGCGCGCGAGATCAGTACTCATAATCATTGATTCATAATCATTCAGGTATTTAAATTTAATTTTGCAGGTTTAATTGTGCTCGCTGCGATGATAGTCTGGCACGTGCACGTGAAAAAGACGCGATAGAATTTCGCGTGCGAATATCGGGATATTAGATGCTCGTCAGTAAACGTTAATATTCATGAGGGTAACGCAGTAAATCGCTAACTGCCCCATTATTACTGCAAGTGTTTGACGTAATGGCCGAAATTGCCGGATTATGAAATTGTAACGTAAATTTAGATACAGTTATGATATTGGCTATTAAATGTTTCGTAAGCATTTGCCTATTAAACCTTTCGTAAGCGAAGGATAACAACGAGGATATAAGAGGAAAATAAACAGAGGGAATAATGAAAATTGTGTATTCAGTGATAACGTGACGCACGGCAACGAGCACCCTCGTAACTAATGTTTTGTGCATAATAAAAAGAAGCAACAATCGTGTTATGTAAAATAGTAAAAGCTAGGCAGGAAATTTGTAATGCAAAAACACGCCACTTTCTCTTCATTCATTAAGCATCGGGGGTGCGCGTGAATTGCGCTGACTTTGCAGGTGTCTCCTATCTTACTTGCGGCACGTGGAAAAAAAATCTGAAACTGGAACAGATAAAAGTGCGCGCGATATTTAATGAGGCATGGCGCGTAAAACGCATCACCCGAACGAAATTTTGATCGAAATTTCATTTAGTCGATAACTGC